TTGAAGATGAATTATAAAATGATATGATCTTTAGGCCACCTGGTGTTAGACTAGTTAGATATTTACTATGTAGGCCCTCTTTGTCACGGTTTATGAATTCTCTGCCTTCCTCATGTCCTGTGTGTGAGTAGCGTGAGTAGCTGAATTCACTTTCCATCTGCTATATATTCTCAGTGACTGGTCTCTGTTGTTGTCAGATTGTTTTGGTATGTTCCTGTGTTGGTTCCTGTTCTGTTTCGTGGTCGTCGATGTGTTCTTTGACCGATAGGCGGCAAGGCTTCTCGCTGACCTGGAACAAGGCAAGCGTTCGGTATCCGATTACTCCATTGAATTCCGCACGCTGGCGGCTGAGTGCGAATGGAACGAGGAGGTGCAGTGGGATATGTTCCTGCGTGGGCTGGCTGACCGTGTTCAAAGAGAAATTTATATGTTGGATTTACCCACGAGTTTGAACGGACTTATCTACCTGGCGCTGAGAGTGGATGCACGTATTTCCAGGATGGAGCGTCGGGGTATTTCGAACCGATTGCCTGGTGGCATTGAAGCTCTACAGACCAGCGGCAGCGACACGGTCAGCCAAACCAACGATCACGAGCCCATGCAGGTGGGTAGGGCTCGGCTTTCCCGGGAGGAGAAGGAAAGGCGGAGATCCCAAGGACTCTGTCTGTACTGCGGGGGAGCGGGCCACTTCAGTAACACCTGCCCGGTAAAAGGCCAAGCCCGGTAGTAAATCTGAGGATACTATCGGGTGGGATCTCCGCCGAGAAGACCACATCACCATCATCCACGCTCCTCCCGGTAAGACTAAGATGGGCAACCGGCACTCACATCTGTCAAGCTTTACTGGACTCAGGAGCAGAGGGCAACTTCATTGACAGTAAGCTCGTTCAGAGACTTGGCATTCCGGTTCATTCACTCAGTCGCAAGATATCTGTTCACGCACTTAATGGATAAGAGCTTCCTGGTATTTCACACACCACAGAACGTATCACACTTATCACCTCTGGCAATCATACGGAAGACATACCATTTCTCCTCATGGACTCACCTTTAGGCAAATTATCAGTGCTGGTACTACTCGACCTCAGTGCTGCATTTGACACTGTCGATCACAACATACTTCTTGACAGGCTGGAAAACTGGGTGGGGCTTTCTGGGATAGTCCTAAAATGGTTCAGGTCATACTTAGAAGGAAGAGGTTATTATGTGAGTATAGGAGACCATAAGTCTGAGTGGACACCCATGACATGCGGAGTCCCTCAAGGCTCAATTCTTGCACCACTCCTATTCAACCTGTACATGCTCCCAATGAGCCAAATAATGAGAAAGAACCGAATCTCTTACCACAGCTATGCAGACGACACACAGCTCTACTTAGCCCTATCGCCTAACGACTACAGCCCCATTGACTCCCTGTGCCAATGCATTGATGAAGTAAACAGTTGGATGTGCCAAAACTTTCTTCAGTTAAACAAAGACAAAACTGAAGTCATTGCGTTTGGAAACAAAGATGAAGTTCTCAAGGTGAATGCATACCTTGACGCTAGGGGTCTAACAACTAAAAATCAAGTCAGGAATCTTGGTGTGTCTCTAGAGTCAGACCTTAGTTTCAGTAGCCATGTCAAAGCAATAACTAAATCAGCATACTATCATTTGAAAAATATTGCAAGAATTAGATGCTTTGTTTCCAGTCAAGACTTAGAGAAACTTGTGCATGCTTTCATCACCAGCAGGGTGGATTATTGTAATGGACTCCTCACTGGCCTTCCTAAAAAGACCATAAGACAGTTGCAGCTCATACAGAACGCTGCTGCCAGGATTCTGAGCAGAACCAGAAAATTTGAACATATCACACCAGTCCTCAGGTCTCTACACTGGCTCCCAGTTACATTTAGGATTGATTTTAAAGTATTATTACTGGTATATAAATCATTCAATGGGCTAGGACCTCAATATATTGCAGATTTGCTCACTGAATATAAACCCAACAGATCACTCAGATCATTAGGATCACATCAGTTAGAAATACCAAGGGTTCACTCTAAGCAAGGAGAGTCTGCTTTTAGCTACTATGCCAGCCGCAGCTGGAACCAGCTTCCAGAGGAGATCAGATGTGCTCCTACAGTAGTCACATTCAAAGCCAGACTCAAAACACATCTGTTTAGCTATGCATTTACTGAATGAGCACTGTGCCACTGCTCGTCCGACTGTTTTTACTGTACTTTATTTTATTTTTTTATTCTAAACTGTTAATTATTTCCTCCTATGTAAAGCACTTTGAATTACCATTGTGTATGAAATGTGCTATATAAATAAACCTGCCTTGCCTTGCCTTGCCTTGCCTTGCCTTGCCTTGCCTTTAGCCCCTATATTCCTCGGCCACCCCTGGCTTACCGAACATAACCCCCGGGTGGATTGGGGCCAACACTCCATTTCGGCGTGGAGTACTCCGTGTTATGAGTCTTGCCTTGTCTCTGCTTGTCCATCTGTACCTGTTTCTGTGTTTCAGGAGGAGGCAGGGGATTTATCTAACGTGCCCGTCGAGTACCAGGACCTGAAAGAAGTCTTCAGTAAGTCCCGTGCTGCTTCTCTCCCTCCAGACCGTCCCTACGACTGTGCCATAGACTTAGTGCCAGGTAAGTCTCCGCCGAAGGGCAAGATATACTCACTCTCTGTCCCAGATAGGGAGGCCATGGAGAAACACATTTCTGATTCTCTAGCATCAGGGTACATCCAGCCTTCCTCTTCTCCAGCGGGGGCGGGGTTCTTCTTTGTGGGTAAGAAGGATGGGTCTCTGAGACCTTGTATTGACTACCGAGAGTTGAACAACATCACTGTAAAGAATACCTATCCTTTACCGTTGAAGTCTCCGGCTTTCGAGAGGTTGCAGGGAGCATCAGTCTTCACTAAGTTGGACTTATGCAATGCTTATCATTTGGTTCGCATCAGGAAGGGGGATGAATGGAAGACTGCTTTTAACACCCCGAGGGGGCACTTTGAACACTTGGTCATGCCTTTCGGCCTGTCCAACTCCCCAGCGGTCTTCCAGGCACTCGTCAATGATGTGCTGCGAGATATGATAGATCAGTTCATATATGTTTACCTGGATGACATATTGATTTTTTCATCTTCTCTCCAGGAACATGTGCAGCACGTCCGACGAGTACTTCAGAGGTTGCTAGAGAATGGGCTTTTTGTCAAGGCGGAGAAATGCGATTTTCATGCACAGTCTGTTTCTTTTCTAGGATACATCGTCTCGTCTGAGGGAGTACTTATGGATCCTGACAAGGTTAAGGCTGTGGTAGATTGGCTAAGTCCAGATTCCCGTAAGGCCCTACAGAGGTTTCTGGGGTTTGCCAATTTCTATCGCGTTTTATTTGCAATTTCAGCCAACTAGCCGCTCCTCTGACTACCTTGACCTCCCCCAGAACTACGTTCAGGTGTTCTGATACAGCTGAGACTGTATTTTCCAAACTCAAGAGTCACTTTGTTTCTACTCCCGAGTGCATTTTACCAGAGAACCTAATTGTCTCCACACTCACATGGGAGGTCGAATCGAAGGGCAGGACGGCCTTAGAAGGGGTAATGCCTCCGCCCGGGGGACGAAACCGATTATTTGTGCCGGAGGAGTTACGGTCTGACGTTATTCAGTGGGGGCATTGTTCCAACGTAGCATGTCATCCAGGAGTTAATCGTACCAGTTTTTTGACGGTCGTTTTGACCATAGTGGACCGGTTCTCGAAGGCGGCTCACTTTATCCCCTTGCCTAAATTACCCTCTGCCAAGGAGACAGCGGTGTCTGTTGTAGACCACGTATTTCGCTTACATGGCCTCCCGACAGACGTGGTTTCCGACAGGGGATCCCAGTTTGTGTCCAAATTTTGGCGAGAATTTTGTAGATTACTGGGGACGACTGTCAGTCTATCCTCTGGTTTTCATCCCCAGAGCAATGGTCAAACCGAGAGAGCCAACCAAGATTTAGAGAGAATGTTGCGATGTTTGGTGTCCAAGAATCCTTCCTCCTGGAGTCAGAAACTTTCAATGGTGAAGTACGCTCACAATTCGTTACAAGGTGTCATCCATGGGCCTATCTCCGTTGAGGGTAGCTTAGGCTACCAGCCACCAGTTTTTCCGAGTCTGGAATACGCACGCTTTCGTCCAGAGGTGCCACCGCACATGGACCAGAGCCCATGAGACTCTGCTCCAAGTGGGGGCACGCACAAAGGCTACAGCCGATCGCCACCGGTCGAAACCTCCAGTATACATCATCGGTCAAAAAGTGTGGCTTTCTACCAAGAACATTCCTTTACGCACCGTCTCTAATAAACTAGCTCCTAAATTTATTGGCCCATTTGTTGTCACCAAGATCATTAGTCCGGTGACGATCCGACTCAAACTCCCTCCTGCGTACAGGAGGATTCATCCCACTTTTCATGTGTCTAAAATCAAGCCCGTGTTTTATTCTGACATTAATCCGCCTGTCCCAGTTCCCCCTCCGCCGTGTCTCATAGATGGGGAACCTACATATTCGGTTAACCATATTCTGGACTCGAGACGGATGGGACGAGGATTTCAGTACCTGGTGGACTGGGAAGGTTACGGTCCGGAGGAGAGAAGTTGGGTACCTGCTAGGGACATCCTGGATCACTCTCTTATTGATGATTACAATCGACAGTTAAGGGAGTCTGGGAATGCCAGGCGGCATTCCTAGAGAGGAGGGTACTGTCACGGTTTATGAATTCTCTGCCTTCCTCATGTCTCGTGATTGTGTGTGTGTGAGAGTGTGTGAGTAGTCACTCCAGTTCTGTTGTCTCTGTGTCTGACCAGCGCTTCTGTTTATTTATTAACAAACACACTCTACTGCATCTTGCTTCCAGTCGTTTCCTAACACTCTTATTTATTTATACAGTTGTAAACAGTTTGCACATCTGTACATAAGTATTCTGCTTATTTCATCTAGATGCTTAATACTCATTGTTTTTACTTAATTTACTTAATACTTAAAGGAGTAGTTCACTTTTTAAAAAACTTTTGCTGATAATTTACTCACCCCCATGTCATCCAAGATGTCCATGTCTTTCTTTCTTCAGTCGAAAAGAAATTAATGTTTTTGATGAAAACATTCCAGGATTTTTCTCCATATAATGGACTTCAATGGTAGCCAAACGGTTCAAGGTCTAAATGACCGTTTCAGTGCAGCTTCAAAGGGCTTTAAACGATACCAGACGATGAATAAGGGTCTTATCTAGAGAAACGATCGGTCATTTAAAAAATAAATAGAAAAGTTAAAGTTTTATAGGCACAAATGCTCGCCTTGCGAACTCTCCTGTTCGAACTCGTTCATCAAAATGAACAAATCTTTTTTCGAGACTTTAACTTTTCTATTTATTTTTTAAATGACCGATCGTTTCGCTAGATAAGACCCTTATTCATCGTCTGGTATCGTTTAAAGACCTTTGAAGCTGCACTGAAACGGTCATTTAGACCTTGAACCGTTTGGTGCCCAGCAAAGTGCATTATATGGAGAAAAATCCTGGAATGTTTTCATCAAAAACATTAATTTCTTTTCGACTGAAGAAAGAAAGACATGGACATCTTGGATGACATGGGGGTGAGTAAATTATCAGCAAAAGTTTTTTTAAAAGTGAACTAATCCTTTAATTGTATTTTTATTCTCTTGTGTATATAGGTATGTATGTATGTAAGGACCCAGAGCTCCTGGAAACTTTTCAGATTCTTTTTGAGTTTGTGCACACTTGCTGAATAATAAATACATTCAAATAATATTGAAGACTGACCTTTGACCCAACAGGATCCTGCAGGTGACGACTGACCCTGAAATGAAATGGTTAATCATGTAGACTGACAGATCCTTGAACATTGATATAGACATATTCTGATGAGGAAACAACAGTGACTCTAAAAGAAGTTCGACACTTATGTACAAATATTCAGAAACTCCACGGAGCCCCTAAAGCGACACGGGGATGGTAAAAAAAAAAAACGAGATGAGAGGAAAAATAATTTTTCAATCCTTTAGCATAAGACGTTTGCAAAGGCAAAAGGTTTGCAAGCGAATGCAAATGTTTTGTCTTGCAAGCAAAGCAAACGCAAATGTTTTTTGAGTGAAAGCAAAAGTTTTGCAGTTGAACGCAAATGTTTTGTTTTGCAAGCGAACGCAAATGTTTTTTGAGTGAACACAAATGTTTTGTTTTGCAAGCGAACGAAAATGTTTTGTTTAGCAAGTGAACACAAATGTTTCATTTTGCAAGCGATGCAAATGTTTTGTTTTGCAAGAGAATGCAAATGTTTTTTTTGCAAGCGACGCAAATGTTTTGTTTTGCAAGCGAACGCAAATGTTTTGCAAGCGAACGCAAATGTTTTGTTTTGCAAGCGAACGCAAAATGTTTTGTTTTGCAAGCGAACGCAAATGTTTCGATTTTCAAGCGAATGCAAATGTTTCGTTTTGCAAGTGAACGTAATGCAAATGTTTCGTTTTGCAAGCGAACGCAAATGTTTTGTTTTGCGAGCAAACGCAAAATGTTTTGTTTTGCAAGCGAATGCAAATGTTTCGTTTTGCAAGCGAACGCAAATGTTTTGTTTTGCAAACAAACGCAAAATGTTTTGTTTTGCAAGCGAATGCAAATGTTTCGTTTTGCAAGTGAACGTAATGCAAATGTTTCGTTTTGCAAGCGAACGCAAATGTTTTGTTTTGCGAGCAAACGCAAATGTTTCGTTTTGCAAGCGAATGCAAATTTTTCGTTTTGCAAGCGAATGCAAATGTTTCGTTTTGCAAGTGAACGTAATGCAAATGTTTCGTTTTGCAAGCGAACGCAAATGTTTTGTTTTGCGAGCAAACGCAAAATGTTTTGTTTTGCAAGCGAACGCAAATGTCTCGTTTTGCAAGTGAACGTAATGCAAATGTTTCGTTTTGCAATCGAACGCAAAATGTTTTGTTTTGCAAGCGAAGGCAAATGTTTTTTGAGTGAACACAAATGTTTTGTTTTGCAAGCGAACGCAAATGTTTCGGTTTGCAAATGTTTTTAAAGTGAAACTTTAAAGTGTAAAGTTCCAAAAGAACAGAAATGTTTTGCAAAATAACGCCAAGATTCACAAAAGTTTGCAAGTGAATGCAAATGAGCATAAGCAAAGTTTTTCGGGGAAACGCAAAAGCATTCAATACAATACATTCCCCCATCACCATGTCCCCTTAGGGGCCCCTTAAAAAACTTGGTCTAATTAAAGATATTCACTCATTTGGAATTGAACAAACACTTTCCGGGAGCCAGTAAAGATCATTTAATGGATCATGTGACTGACCTCTCGAGGTCTGTACTGTTTCTCATCCCCCTGTTTCCCTCTCCTGGAGAGCATCCGGTGCCGGCGTAACTGCTCCCTGTTCCTGCGGCTCGTGTTGTGGGCCGGTCGTCTGCCGGGCTCTGAGCTCGTGGAGGGCGACGGAGACCAGTCTGTTCCCAGATCTCTGACGGAGCGAGTCCGAGCGTCCGAGACTCCGGAGCGATTCCTGAGCATCTCCACTTGCTTCAGCTGCTCTTGAAAGCTTCTAGGCTTCGGTTTCGAAGACCCGGTGCAGTTCAACATGGGAACTGGCATCTTCCAGATCCGTATTGCTCTCCTGAGGAGTTTGTGCGAGAGTGTGTTCAGGTAAATGGCCGGGTGAGCCGCGGAGATGCTCTTGTTTTGCCGTTGGCCTCGTGGAGCTTCTCTCTTAACATCAGCTCTTCCAACACACTCTCGCTCGGGTTTCACCTTGTGTTTGGCTGCATTTATCCGCTGCGGTTGTGTTAACTGCAGCTGTTTCGTGGCTCTGTAAGCGGGTGAAAGAACACCAGAGGAGATTCTGGACTTGGATGGACCTTCTGCAGCATCGGACGACATAGCTGGACAGAAAATAAACATCTCTTAAAGGGGCGGTTGATTATGATTTCACTTTTCTAACTTTAGTTAGTGTGTAATGTTGCTGTTTGAGCATAAACAACATCTGCAAAGTTACGACGCTCAAAGTTTAAAGCAAAGGGGGATATTTGCTTTAACAGAAATCACTTTTTAAGGACTACAACAAACGGCTGGTAGAACTACACGAGCTTCCTCCCGGGTTAGTGACATCACAAACCCTAACATTTACATAAACCCCGCCCCCGGGACACGATTTATAGATGATCATGACAGAATATGCTAATCAATATTAGACTTGAAGATAGTTAACTCCACATAAGCTACATAAATTCATCAACAAACCATTCAGAAATGTCCTGTTGCTTCTACATGTTGTCACTTCTTGAGTCTCTCCATCTTTGTCTGACTCCGGTTTGAACATTAAAAAGGCTAAAAGTTTTTGAAATGTTTAGTGTGTGTCTGTGTGAGGTAATTGGAGCTGCTAACACACACACACACACACACACACACACAAGCTCCTGGAGCTCCGCCCCCTGTGCGAGAGCAGCAGCTCATTTGCATTTAAAGGGAGACACAAAAACAGCTCTAATGAGAGTTAGGTGCATGTAGTTATCGAAATAAACTGTAACCTTATAGTTATGTAAATATTTTGAATGAGTTTTATGTTTTCATTTGAAATGTTGGGTGACTTTACAATGGTTTTATTAGATAACATGAGCATGAACTAAGAATGAACAATACTTTTACAGCATTTATTAATCTTAGTTAATATCAATTTCAGCATTTACTAATACATTATTAAAATCAAATGTTATGTCTGTTAACATTAGTTAATGCACAGCGAACTAACATGAACAATCAATGAACATCTGGATTTTTATTAACTAGCATAAACTAAGATTAATAAATACTGTAACAAATGTATTGCTCATTGGAGTTATTAATACATTAGCTAATGTTAACAAATTAAACTTTTAACCAAATTTTGTAAGTTGTAGTAATTTTGTTATGGTAGGCCTATGTTTTTTTATCTGTCTATATATTTGTATTCCCGTTTTAGTTTTAATTATTTTAGTAGTAAATTTTAGTAGATTTGAAATGATGCCTTGGCAAATTAACTCAAACTAATATACGTTTTCAATTTAATTTTATGTTATTTTAGTTAACATTTATTTTATTTCAAGAACTTATTTTATTTCAATAACTAATTGTATGGTTTTATTTTAGTTGATAATAACCCTGAAAAACATCTTCCAACATTTTAGAAATATTACAGAATCTTTATCATTTCTCGTTTTGCTGAGTTACAACCACTGATCTATATAATGACACACACACACACACACACACACACACACACACACACACACACACACACACACACACACACACACACACACATATATATATATATAATGTCTATATATATAATGTCATTATATAGATCAGTGGTTACAACCGATTTACTGTAGTAAAACAGCATGCTATAATAATTAAGCAAAAATACGCAAACAGTTCTGAACGGGCATTAGGCAACAAAAGACTTGCTCAAACATCATATAAAGTAAATAATATAAAGAACATTAATTTAAATACATTTGCATATGAACGCCTATCAACTCTGGCTCACCTGTGCAGTTTCTCTGGTTCTCCTCAGTCTGTAATCGATGATTTTCACTCATTTCTGCCGATCAGCATCTGAAGCTTCAGTGATTCTGTAACCGATGCGGTTTCAAAAAACGCGATTCTTTTGAACCGAATCTTTTCTTTTGAATCGCTCAAAACATTCCACTGATGACGAGCGACTCGTTCATCTCGCGCCACGAAATGTGCCACAAAGCAAGTTTTGTTTGATTTTTATTGCATTTTATTTTCTGTTAGATCCATGACGTAACAGATTTATTAAGAACTCATTGATTTTTATTTGTCAAGCCATTAAATCACTGATGTTATGAAACAAATTTAGTATGAATGCATTAAAATCTCTGATATATTCTCTGATTTAGACTATAATAAGTACAATTTTGGTTTTGTCTGGAGTATTAATATAATCATATCATGTTATCATTTCTTTTTGTGCATAAAACTTTAGATACAGAACTGAAATCGTCTGTGTGGATGATTAGAAATATATGGAACACTATTATACAATTTAGAGACTCGTCAACAACAACAACAACAAAAAAAAAGCAATAGAAACAACACAAGATAATAATATGGTGTATAATCAGATCTATGAGTGACTCGTCACATCATGATTCTTGAGTTTAACAGTGAAGATTGCCAAAGCAGCAAAGAGTCAAATTCCCCGTTCAGACGGATCGGATCTTCAGCGTTTGGTTGTTGTGTTGCATGTCGTATTTCTCTCGTTTGATTCTGTGATGAATTGTGCTGAACAAGTCTGAAAGTGGATCTGCAACCTGTGAAAACACAGTGAATGTCAATATTACATCAAACTCGACATGGTTGTATGTGTTAATTTAAAACAGCAATTTTTAGGGGTGTCACAATATATCGCAATACAAAAACGCAACAATATGTGTCGTGGATTCACCCAAATTTTAAATTACTGTGCGTGAAAAATTCAAGTTTTCAGTGTTTTAGTGTCAGTACTACATTAAACTAATATATATAATGTTGAATATAATGTATAATAATGCAATGGGGGAATATTTGTGGGTCCTGATAATGCCAAATATCTTATGTTACCTGTAAAAGTGTCCTACATTATTTTAAATATAATTTAGTCAATGAAAGAGTGCATTTGAGCTTCAGAATCATTAATATTTTGCAATATTTTACCAGCACCAAGTCCAAGCATATTCATTTCCACAGCCAATGTAATATCAAATTCAGCATTTTAATCAGTAACCTTTTATCATGTGTCTTGGAGTATCGCGATAATATGGTATCGTGAGTTCAGTATCGTGATATGTATCGAATCGTGACATGAGGGAATAGTTACACCCCTAGACATTTTCAGTGGATAAATTGGGTGTTTATATGATGATGATGTGTGTGATGGTGTGGTTTACCGTGAGCCGGATCAGACCCATGAGTCGAGTGGTTGAGGCGTTCGCTCCACTAAACCCACTGCTGGCCTGCTGGTCCTGATGAAAGGCCTCTTATCACACACACCCTGAAACACAATCAACAGCAGCTTCTTACACACATACATGACGTCCCGGGGGAGATTGGTGTTTAAACCATCAAAATAGGGATAATCTTTTTTTGACGCGCAGCATTTTTTCAAATGCAGCGCCGCCTTCCCGGGATGCTTTGCGGGCGTTTTGGACCAGCTGGAGTTTGTTTATTAAGCGTGCAGGGCAACCACCCAGTAGAACATTACAATAATCTAGCCTTGAGGTCATGAACTAACTGTTCCGGATTTGTCAATGAGAGCATATGACGTAATTTAGATATATTTTTAAGATGGAAAAATTTGGTTTTACAGATACAAGACACGTGACTTTTTAAATGAAAGATTGGTATCAAAGAGCACACACACACACAGGTTCCTAACCGATGACGAAGACTTGACAGAACAGCCATCAAGTGTTAGACAGTATTCAGAGAAGCAAATGTATCGCTGCAATTTACAGTAACAACTGGACTCGCAGTTTTCATTTAGTGTCAATATGCTGAATTTAGGGGTAAAATCATACCTCATAAATTGTACTGTTGTTATATATTCTATTGACAACTCATCAATTTAATATTTACCATCGTATATTCTGCATAATTGGATGTTTTTAAATAAACTGACAAAAAACTACACAAGATTTAGGGCTGGCGATATGATGATATATAACACTGATATAAGTGATCACATGGATTTAGGCCTATATTGTATTTATATAAAGCGTTCACAGGCAAATTTGCTTTATGTATTTCCCCGGCGTCGAAATCAGGCTCATATAAATGTCAGGAAACACGATTCCTGCTGCATTTCAATATCCACGATCACTGGATCTCTGGTCAGTTGTAAGGAACACTATATCGAGTCCAAGCTTTAGTTTAAACTGATAATCGTTTGTTTTACTGGCGTTTCCTCTATTAAACTCAGTCACTCCGCAGCTCTTCTGCCACTCAGTCCGGCTGAGGGAGTGTGTTCCCGCGGGAGAGTGACGTCAATGCATACCCTCTATTGCTACAGGACACAACATGAGCACTGACCTGAAAAGTTTCTCGTTCGATCATGTGACACGGAGCGTCTCCGGCTCTCTCGGCCTGATCAACGGAGCAGTATCCATCTGAAACAGCAGAACACATGAATTAAAGTGCATGAAACACAGGAGCGGCCTTTGAATACCCGTTAAACTTGAAACAGACCTAAAAAACAGCCTCGCATCAAGCCGCGCACACACACACGCCAAGGTCGGAAATTAACGGAGCTTGAGGCAAAAATGCCACCAAAAATAAAGTCCCCCTGTAGTCAATAATTGTATCCCTTAAAACTCATCTTTGATCACTAAAATGACTTTCCTTTTACAAAATGTATTCATGCCTTAAAATATCTTGAATGTAACTCGACACCCTTGCCTCATTTAGTATGCGCGGCTCTATGAGCCCCGCCTCCACTCACTCACTCCGCTCAGAGATCCACTGGTTGACGATCACACGTTGATCTGATTGGTTACAAGGTCGTTTGTGACGTCAGAAACACCAGCGATTTCAAACCGTGTTTTTGAGACTGTCTTTGGTTCACTGCAGTTTTAAGCAGAAAATACTCAGCAATGCTGTCGACTTATGAACTTACACATGGTGTGTCTTAAAGCGTATTAAAAACACCACATAGACACAATAAACGCTGGATAAAAGGAGGACTTTAATAAAAATGGTTTCAAAATCCAAGATATGGTGCAAAACAAAGTCTCTGTATAAGTTCTTGTTTTCCCGAATATCAGTACATTTATAAATGTGATATTGATCTTATACAACAATTCAGTAAACAATAAGTTAACAGACTATTAGGTGACTCAGTATTGTCTGTTTTTCCTCTATCTTGCCAAAGCAAATAGTTTCAAACTGTAAAGCAGTTTGAGCAGCACAGTTTCAGTTTCCTAACTCAATGAATCCGCATTTTTGAACGAATCGTTCTGATGAATGACTCGATGACTCACTTCTGCTTTGTCCCTGAATGAATCATCCTTGTTGAACGAATCGCTTGAGTGAATGATTCAACGTCTGACTCGTTAAGACGGTGATTTGCCGACACCTACTGGTGGATTTAGTATTATTTGAGATTGAATGCTGTTTTTGTTTGTGATAGTACACAATAATTCTGGTTAAAGAGATAGAATCCGTTCATAAATAGACCATTCAAAGTAAAATATGATATTACATATCTCATATACCATCTGTTTCTTTGAAACGGGCGTGTGAATCTCAAAGGCCGCCTCTGTTTAAAACTTATATGCCATTACATGACAGAAAGGCTCGTGGAAGAGAAGCATTTTTCTCATGAATATAATTCAGTAAATGCTAATCAATGACCTTGGTTTTTCTCCATTAAGGGCAGTGTGATGTCATCGCTCCCTTGCTTGGCGTTCTTCTGCTTTTTGGGCAGGCCGGAGACGGCTGGCTGAAACACCAGATCAATACTCATCATCAGCACAACATGAACATGAACATGAAAGTACGGCTGTAAATCAGCAAGAGATGAGAGATCTAGGGCTGTGACGTATGGATATCTTTCTTACCGCGGTGAAGAAGCAACAAATCACGCGGTCTATCACAATCTATGACTTATGATCAAGATTGCATGTTCTTGTATGTACATATGCACATATAACTTTATCATATTTAACTCTACTTTTTGTCCTCTGCAATAAAATGTATTTATTTCTACACCGTGCCACTACCTCCTTATCGCGACCAGTGCAATGTTCATATCAATCTGTATTTATTAGCCTATATATTATATACTTGTATTCTTATTTTCCATTTCTTTATTTTGTATTTAATGTGTATTTCTGCCATCTGTTGTTTGTGTTGTATCTGAAGCTGCTGTAACAAAGCGAACAAGTCTTATATTATATTATCTTGATCATGTAAATGCATGGGCATCATAAGTTTTGCCAAGTTATTTATGAGATGATGCAATAGGCTATTTCATTTCGCATTCGCTTTAAATTTTTTTAATTATTAATATAATAAAAATATTAACAACATGAAATAATATTTATTTCTATACAGAAAAAACTCAAAAATTTCAGTAATTCAACTTAAAAGGTGAAACTAATATATTATATAGACTCATTTTCAAGCCTTTATTTGTTATAATTGTGATGATTATGGCTTATAGCTTATGAAAACCTTTTCACAATATTCTAATTTTGAATTTGGGGTTTTTATAAGCTGTAAGCCATAATCATCACAATTATAACAAATAAAGGCTTGAAATATCTCACTTTGCATGTAATGAGTCTATATAATATATTAGTTTCAGCTTTTAAGTTGAATTACTGAAATAAATGAACTTTTGCACCATATTCTAGAGTTTCACCTGTAACTTTGTTGTTTTTTCGATAACTTTTGAGTTTAATAGGAATTATGGAACCGTTTTTGTCATTGTTTGTAACCCATTTTTTGTACAATAAATGATTAAAAAAATTCGGTGGTGACCTCAACGCCGCGGTAGGCTTCTCTTTACCGCGGTAATGCGGTTATTGTCACAGCCCTACTGTTACCTTGAAGTGTGTTTTGTTCCAGCCGGCCTTGAACAGTGTGTGTCGGAGATCTTTATAGGCCCAGACGCTCTGCAAGATGTGTGACGCCGCTTTGGTCTCGCGCACTGATTGGCTGAGAAGATAGATAGATGATAGATAGATAGATGGATGGATGAATGGATAGATAGATAGATAGATAGATAGATAGATAGATAGATAGATAGATAGATAGATGGATAGATGGATAGATGGATAGATGGATGGATGGATGGATGGATGGATGGATGGATGGATGGATGGATGGATGGATGGATGGATGGATGGATGGATGGATGGATGGATGGATGGATGGATGGATGGATAGATAGATAGATAGATGGATAGATAGATGGATAGATAGATAAGCAATTCATCCACAAGAAACTACAGTCAAACCAACATTATCCAGACTCCTTCAACATTTCTCACATTATCACAGTTTATTCGCTATAGTTTAGAAAATGTTGATAAAATATGAGCAGAACTCAGTTGATATTTGACTGGTTTTGTCCGTCCTTCTGTTAGACTCTCACACATGAATTATGTTGAATATCTGTCAGCTGTTAAATTTAACTACACAATTAGATAATACCAGTTTAGCTCAACCAGTGACCAAGCAATGCTTCATGTTGTTCAGTGTGTGTGTAAAAAGAGCATTAGCAATTACAGAAAACACACTTCAGCAGAACATCATCAGCTCAAAGTGGAGGAATCATTTTTGGTCCCAAATGTCACTGGTAGTCACTGTATGAAGAATATTTGGGTATAATTTGTCACCTTTTACTTTATTTTGCTCTCCTCACTTACATAAGTGAACTATAGTGTCACTAGTAAAAAAAATATAAAAAACTCTGGTGTCTGAATAATTTTTGGTTTGACTGTACAGCTTTCCTCAAATGTGCTGCGGTTTGTCACCTTGTTTTGTTGATTGACACCAGCTTCTGTATTCCCTGTCCCTGGATGAGGAATCTGGCGTTCTCCAGGTTCTCCGAGACGATCTCCAGGATTGTGTTCAGGACGGCCACCACCGTGTCTCCCTCCAGGTTTTTAGCGGGTCTCTGTTGCCCACAGGGAAGATTGCTGACCAGATCCCTCATGGCGAAGCTCCCTGATTGGGCCACACAGATGATGATGTCAGCCTCATTCACATTTACAAAGCGACTTACAAATGAAGCAATCAGACCAGCAAGAGGACCACAGTATAAGTGCTGTAGAGTCCAGCACAGTACACATAGCAAGGTTTATTTCATTATTAGAAAAACAAAACAAATAGAATAGAATATAAGGTAAGTGCTAGTATTAATTTGTCAGGTGCTGGAGAAAAAGGTGTGTCTTTAGACATTTTTTTGAAAATGGCCAGGTTATTCCTCCAGCTGGGAAGGACATTCACCATCATCATCATCATCATCGCACAGGTTCTGCTGGAGAGTAAAGTCAAAGTAAAGGTCTTACCGATGAGGTCTTTGTTCTTGTGGTCGATGGCCAGGTTTCTGAGCGCGATGGCGATGGCTCGCACCACTTTATCTGCGTCGGAGTGCAGCAGCTCCACCAGCACCGGCAGACCCTTCTCCTTACGCACCGTCACGCGGATGTAACTCGACCACTGGGAAACACACACACACACACTCATTATGAGCAGTAGCTAACTGCGTTACTTTTTTAGAAAACGAATGCGTTACGTTACTTTTGCGTTACTTTTTTTCACCTGGGCTGGGCTTGTTTTCATTTTTGTAACAAAAATTTTATATTTTTGAGCAAATGTAAAGACCCTTTCACAGCAAAAGTTAAATAATAAGCCTCACACTGCAAAAATGCTTTTCTTACTTAGTATTTTTGTCTTGTTTCCAGTCCAAATATCTAAAAATTCTTAAATCAAGATGTATTTACTAGATGAGTAAAATTACATAAGATATTAGGTCCTGCTTTCCGAGGGAATTCATTAAAATTAAGTGAGTTGATGCTTAAAAAAGCAAAACACACACACACACACACACACACACACACACACACACACACTCGTATCACAGGTGTTGTTGTGGTCCACTCACGGCCCAGTGTCCGGCACACACACACACACACACACACACACACACACACACACACTCGTATTACAGGTGTTGTTGTGGTCGACTCACGGCCCAGTGTCCGGCACACACACACACACACACACACACACACACACTCGTATCACAGGTGTTGTTGTGGTCCACTCACGGCCCAGTGTCCGGCACACACACACACACACACACACACACACACACTCGTATTACAGGTGTTGTTGTGGTCGACTCACGGCCCAGTGTCCGGCACACACACACACACTCGTATTACAGGTGTTGTTGTGGTCCACTCACGGCCCAGTGTCCGGCACACACACACACACACACACACACACACACACACACACACACTCGTATTACAGGTGTTGTTGTGGTCCACTCACGGCCCAGTGTCCGGCACACACACACACACACACACACACACACACACACACACTCGTATTACAGGTGTTGTTGTGGTCCACTCACGGCCCAGTGTCCGGCACACACACACACACACACACACACACTCACACACACACACACACACACACACACACACACACACACACACACACACACACACACACACACTCGTATTACAGGTGTTGTTGTGGTCCACTCACGGCCCAGTGTCCGGCACATACACACACGCACACACTCGTATTACAGGTGTTGTTGTGGTCCACTCACGGCCCAGTGTCCGGCACACACACACACACACACACACACACTCGTATTAAAGGTGTTGTTGTGGTCCACTCACGGCCCAGTGTCCGGCACACACACACACACACACACACACACACACACACACACACACACACACACACACACACACACACACACACACACACACACTCGTATTACAGGTGTTGTTGTGGTCCACTCACGGCCCAGTGTCCGGCACACACACACACACACACACACACACACTCGTATTACAGGTGTTGTTGTGGTCCACTCACGGCCCAGTGTCCGGCACATACACACACGCACACACTCGTATTACAGGTGTTGTTGTGGTCCACTCACGGCCCAGTGTCCGGCACACACACACACACACACACACACACACTCGTATTACAGGTGTTGTTGTGGTCCACTCACGGCCCAGTGTCCGGCACACACACACACACACACACTCGTATTAAAGGTGTTGTTGTGGTCCACTCACAGCCCAGTGTCCGGCACACACACACACACACACACACACTCGTATTAAAGGTGTTGTTGTGGTCCACTCACGGCCCAGTGTCCGGCACACACACACACACACACTCGTATTAAAGGTGTTGTTGTGGTCCACTCACGGCCCAGTGTCCGGCACACACACACACACACACACACACACACACACACACACACGTATTACAGGTGTTGTTGTGGTCCACTCACGGCCCAGTGTCCGGCACACACACACACACACACACACACACACACACACACTCGTATTACAGGTGTTGTTGTGGTCCACTCACGGCCCAGTGTCCGGCACACACACACACACACACACACACACACACACACACACACACTCGTATTACAGGTGTTGTTGTGGTCCACTCACGGCCCAGTGTCCGGCACACACACACACACACACACACACACACTCGTATTACAGGTGTTGTTGTGGTCCACTCACGGCCCAGTGTCCGGCACATACACACACACACACACTCGTATTACAGGTGTTGTTGTGGTCCACTCACGGCCCAGTGTCCGGCACACACACACACACACTCGTATTACAGGTGTTGTTGTGGTCCACTCACGGCCCAGTGTCCGGCACACACACACACACACACACACACACACACACACACACACACACACACACACACTCGTATTACAGGTGTTGTTGTGGTCCACTCACGGCCCAGTGTCCGGCACACACACACACACACACACACACACACTCGTATTACAGGTGTTGTTGTGGTCCACTCACGGCCCAGTGTCCGGCACATACACACACACACACACTCGTATTACAGGTGTTGTTGTGGTCCACTCACGGCCCAGTGTCCGGCACACACACACACACACTCGTATTACAGGTGTTGTTGTGGTCCACTCACGGCCCAGTGTCCGGCACACACACACACACACTCGTGTTACAGGTGTTGTTGTGGTCCACTCACGGCCCAGTGTCCGGCACACACACACACACACACACACACACACTCGTATTACAGGTGTTGTTGTGGTCCACTCACGGCCCAGTGTCCGGCACACACACACACACACACACACTCGTGTTACAGGTGTTGTTGTGGTCCACTCACGGCCCAGTGTCCGGCACACACACACACACACACACACTCGTATTACAGGTGTTGTTATGGTCCACTCACGGCCCAGTGTCCGGCACACAGGTTCTGCAGCGCTCCGGCCGCCGCCTCCAGGGTGTTCTGGTTCTGGCTCAGTTTGAGGAGCGACAGGTAGAGGCGAACCACCTCGGGCTGGTACAGGAGCTCCAGGCCTGCAGGAACACACACACACACACACACACACACACACACGTCTGAGGCTCCAGTAGCGTCAATCATTCATGAGCACAGGGACTCATCTCCAATGCATGGTAAGAGCAAATCCTGTACGGTTTACATTATTTCTGAGGACATGGAGGTTTTTATCTTCATGCTGAAGTTTAATACTTAATGTTAGAGGTTTGTTCAAATCACGATGAGCATTAGCCTAGTGATGTAGTGCCTGCAGGTCACACCCGAACCGAGACATTCACGGTTCTAGTCCCCCTGTGGTGAAAATCCAGCTTTTAATGTTGTTTATGTGTCTATGTGGTGTTTTTAATGAAGTTCCTAAACGTAAATTAGGGAGGAGCGAGCCCATCCAATCTTTCAATCAACAAACAGAGTATATAAGCAGCCGCTTACCTCTCCCTAGTATCAGCTGTTCCAGTATTATTGTTGCTTCATGGAATAATGTCCGACATCCCGGAAATACAGCTCTTCCCGTCAGACGACGAACTGTCGAGCCTTCCCGAGACTCCGACAGCCTCACCCCGTGTAAGATCGGAAATCACGGATCATCTCCACGAGCGTTCTGGCCGAGAAATCCAGCGCTCATACAAACCACGCTCCAAAAGACAACGCTCTCCTCCACCTTCAAGACCGCCAGTTTTAACTGTGCCTCGTCCGTCTTCTCAGATTTCATCTCTCCACGCAACAGCCGCTAATACACCGATTCCACCCATTTCGAAATGTTCAGTCAACAGCCTACGTCAAGTCCTTTCCAGTTCTGGAATCCATTTCTCCCGCAGATCGTCTAAAGTGCAACTTTACGATCTCTTCATCAGTTCCTTCAGTTCCAGCACCGGGCATCCTGATCCCACACAATCTCAACGCGCCGATCCAAAGGCTACCGGCAGCGCCGCGGCTCGCACTTCCTCGTCCGCCGGTATTTCCACCCGGCCAAAAACAGCGGCCGCAAAAAATAGTTCCGCTTCTTCTCCAGCTCCAACAAACTTCATCCAGTCAGCCCCACTCCCCAGGCAAGAACCAAACTTTCAATCACTTTTCTCAGCACTCCCATCTGCTTCTCCAGCTTTTTCTAATCCTCTTCATAACCCTTGTGCCAGGCCACCTTCGCACACGGTTACATTTCTATCATCCCCAAACCAACCTACCCAAAGAGCGGATCCTAGCGTGAGGTTGCCTTCGCTAGCTATCCCCCCTCCACCCCCTCCTCTTTCCTTCCATTCCAATTCACCCCATTCCTTTCCTCCCACCTCTATCTTCCAATCATATCCTAATATCCTTCCCAGTTCACATCCGAGCGTGAGGCTGCCTCCGCAAAGGACCTCTCCTTTCTTTCCCACAAACCTTCCCATTCCTCCAACTTCAGCCCATGCCAGCCATTTTGGACACCAGCCAGTAATGGGACCCTCCGATCATCATTTATCTACTTTTCCCAACACTCACACCTACTCTCCAGGTACAATCCGCTTGCCAGTCCATTCACTCTCCACAGCAGTCCATCTTCCAGCTCCTCCTAATGCAGTGGCCATGGAACCACCTCCAGTTTCAGCCCATCTCCGGTCCTTAATTCTATCAGAAATTCAGAACATTGGCTCCGGAAGCAGACTCCAATCCAACTCCAGTTCCACCTTATTCAGAACTCATATTCCTCTAGACCATCCCCTCAGTCATCTCCATACCCTATCCATGAATACCATCCTACAAGCTGTTTCTCCCAGAACGCTTCAAACATACTGGACAGCTTGGGGTTCTTTCAAAAAATTCCACAGAGCTCACAACATGGTCTTTCCAGAGTTTTCCCTCCTCTCAATATCCTCCTTCGTCACATACCTCCATCACACCACCTCAATTAAACCAGGATCAATCAAAGTCTACCTCAGCGGAATTCATTTCTTTTTTAAGCTACTCCATGGCCAACAGTGCCCCAACATTTCAAATCCCCAGATTTCTCTCCTCATCAAAGGTTTACAAAAAACCAATCCCCCTTGTCCAGACTCTAGACAACCTTTAACCATCGACATTCTCAGCACCTGCCTAACCACTCTCCGCTCAGGTCTTTTTTCTCCCATCAAAGCAAGAACCCTAGATGCCATGTTCAATTTGGCTTTCTTTGGTTTCCTCAGAGTCTCAGAATTTACCATCAACTCAAACTTCAACCCATCCATCCATCCCACGTTCTCCGACCTCCAAATAATAAACTCCGACACCATACGTTTCAACATCAAACAAAGCAAAACCGATCAATTGAAACATGGTCATTCGATTTTCATCTTCAATTTGCCAACCCCTATCCAACCATACCAGTCCTTAAACTTTTTTCTCCACCAGAGGAAATCCCAAATCACCTCTTCTCTCGATCCTCTCTTCATCGATGATGATAACCTCCCGGCCTCCAGACATTGGTTTCAAAGGAACCTCAAATCCATCCTCAACAGCTGCGGCATCCCAACCAAACAGTTTTCTTCACATTCCTTCCGAATAGGTGCAGCCACCACAGCAGCACAAAGGGGCCTTTCCGATCACCAAATCAAAATGCTAGGCCGATGGTCATCCCACGCCTTCGAAACATACGTTCGTTCAGATCTACATAACATTAGACAAGCACAACAAGCACTAGCATCCTTCTGAATCTGGACCGCCTCTCCCTACTATTCGCATCTCCCCGCTTACCTAGCCCCGCAGGGCGTGTTCCCATCTGGATGCAGTGAGAGCTCTCCCTTTTCGGATGTGCGTGACCTACCACTCCTGGAGTGGGGTCTCCCATCCGAATCGCCGTGTGGGCTCCCCCGTTCAGATGCATCATAGGCTCTCCCGTTCGACTTGCTGTGTGGGCTCTCCCGTTTTGATTGCCGAGTGAGCTCCCTATTTATACATATGGGGGGGGCTCTCTCCTTCGAAACGCAGCGGGAGCTCTCCCGGTCGAATCGCAGTGTGAGCTTTCCGTTCGGGCGCCGTGGGGGCTCTCCCTTTCCGAATCGCTGTGTGATCCTTCATGTTTTTAACCATGGAGGCTCTCCCGTTCGGATCGCAGTGTGGGCCCTCCTATCCGAAAAAAAATCAGGACTGGAGGTACCAAGGATCGTACGTCCCTCGAACGCGACGGGCCATTATGTCTTTATGCGATCTTCGCCCCCTGCATCAGAAGGATGGTAGTTCTGCATTTCCTATGTATACCGTAGGCTCCCTCTTGCTGCGTAGGGAGTTTCGCTTCAGACACCGGTGGCCCGTTCGCCTTTAGGGACGAGGACCTTCTTCCCCATTTGTGACATCTGGAAGCCCCATGTGCTCTAACTCCATGGGGCTCCATGTCATGGATGTGGCAGGGCGTTCTCC